AACGTATTCCAATGACTTCCAGACGGGGAGCTTATCGAAGATTGGGAGTTTAAAGGAGCTGAAAAGGATCTTAACAAAAACACAGTGAAAGCCACATTACAGTTTTAACTCTGAACTCTCGAGTTGCTTAAATGAATACCTTATAAAAATGCAGCTCTTTAGTTGAGAAACCAAAACCATCCTAAGCCTTCAAAGCGAGTTTGTTTTGAGCTTGAACGCCACCTGACACATGTGGGGAAGGAAGACACATTGTGACAGCTGAAAGAGCTGTATCATATATTTAGCATCATCATATTGCACTGTGGGTTAACTTTTAGCTTTTGTTTTGGGGGAGAGGAAAGAAGGAGGACTTAGGGGGGGATGGAAGAGCGTTTCAATAATCCGAAACCCTAGCCGAGAGGGTGGGGAGTGGGGAGTTCTTAGAGGCTTGGTGCTCAATAGAACACATTTACATCGAAGAGTACCTTGGGCATTGAGATGAGAACATTTAGCCTCCTACACAGTGTAAGATGAAACGGGGTGAAACCAATTAAGAGCCGTTATAAGCTCCTGGTGACTGAAACACAGTCTGAAAGAAACTTCTGTCTCTGACTCAGACTGTGATTCTATGAGAAGAGATATTAAAAAAACTTGAAACGTTTTATTCGATCACTGGTGTGATTACCACATAAGGATCACTTGGCTTCTCAAGTATAATGTCGATAAGATTTGAACTAAGTCACAAAATATAGATCAGGGCAACTTTTACTTTCAAAGGAAATTGGATCCTAAATTTGGAAGTTAAAAAATAATATGTTTTAGACGAAACTGTTCTTTTAAATCAATATGCATGGTACTAATACTAAATAAAGTTATCCAACAAAGAAAGAGTTGGAGTAGATCATAAATAGTGGCAAGATTATCTCATAATTTTCTTTGCCAGGTCTTTTTTTTTTTTTGGCCATTGCGTCTGTCTTTAAGACAAGGGTCTCCCCAAAGTTAATATCTTTCCAACATCCTTTAACGGGTGATGACAGTCGCTCAGTATTTAATTTATTTTCCATCCTAGCTCATATGTATCTCCTTGTAAAATTGTCCAGAGAAAAAGGATTAAGCCAGAATTTTTTAGAACCCTTATCTTCTCGTGCACCACATTCATCGAGATTTTCAGGTGATCAAATGACAAGTTGCTGCAAAGAGCAAATAATCTTTTCTTATCAATAATTTCAACGGAACCATTTAAAGTTCTTCTTTGCTTAAATAATCGGATGTTTATTACACATAAAAAGGTTTCTGGATTATTTAGAAAAACTTGAGACGTTACCAAACTGGAAATCTATAATCTATGAAAACAATTTTGGGGTGTTTTGTACCTGGTAGATCAATTATTTTGGTAGTAAAAACAGAGTAATTAGCATTGATAATGATTTGACCGTTGTTTTTAGAGACCTGTCGCCACAAATACTGTACAGATTTTTATGGAGTACTTTTTAACTCCCACAAATGATTTTTTCCAAAGAAATCTATCTAACTTAATTTTAATTGTTAATTCTATATTTAGAGAAAGTTTCGAGATAATTGGAGAGATTTTTGGATTAATGAGAATTTTTTTAAAGTGAATTTCCATAAGGTCCTTCAAGACGATACTACATGATGCTTGTGGAAAGGCCTGTTGTTTAAAAACCACTATAGTCCATCTTATTTTTGAAGAAAATCCTGAGTTGCTCTTTTTTTCAAATTAGAACTCTATGACCTGAGGAAAAAAGATAACATCACTTAAATGTCATCAATATTTCAACTGTTTTCTCACCTGCAAACCTCATTAGAGGTTGTCTAATACTAAAATGACAACATTAAGAATACAGCTTAAGCTGTTGATATGACTGGTTTTTGAGTAAAGATTTATTTCATACGTACATTTGTCACTAACGTGAGGCAAAGAAAATTAAAAATAAAATTCCCAACAGGACGAAATTTGAACCTCGGATCTACGGATTTCGTTGTCCAAAACGTCTTGTGTAAGAGAGAGATTCTTTCCAGCAGAGCTTTACGATCGTCCTATTAAAATTTAAATACATCTTAAATTTCTACACATGGAAAATGAATTCAAATGGTTAATTATTATTAGATTCTTGGTAAAAATTTACCAACCGAATGGAAAAAACCAACGGATAAAATGTTTTCATTTGTTTTCATCTCGAATTGTCAGATAACTTTCGTTTTAATTAGAGATTCAACCATACAAATTTACTAATGCTTGAGAACAGCTGATGTTGACTGTTTTATTTGAGTTTTTCACAATATATGAGAATACTCCAGAAAACTGTGAGAGTGAATGACTTGTTTGAGTAATTTTCGATTAATTGCAAACAGCAAACCGAAAAAAAAGCTAAAAGAACGCGAAGTAAAGAGAACGCGAAAAATTGTCCCGGAGGAAAGAATCTAACTATTTCTACAAAATTCACCTTAAGAACGGTTATATTAAAAAAAAATATTTACTATCGCACGGAGTGACATAGTCATAAATATGAATTACAAAATGCTTGAATTAGAACGATGTAGCATAAATGTTCTTTTGTGGGTTGCTAAAGTTGTCACTTCGAAAAGGCTCTCAGATTGAGAATAAGAAAAATTTAAAGTCATTAAATGCCCTCGTGGATTCCTACACGACGATATTTTCCAGTTTATTCCACATAGTAAAGCGGGGCTGGAATGAAATGCACATCAACCAGAGGTCTATATTTATCGTAAGAGCATCAATATATTTCCTTGCTACTGCTATGCTTACCAATCACGTAATTATAGTTAGTGAGGTTTATGAAATATTTTAAGCATTCTTCGGCGAAGCATCAATTCATAGAAGAAAAATCATCTGTGAGAATTAGACAACGATAGATATTCCGTGATTAGATTGAACTACATTGCATCGAACAAACATTCCCTATATACCATTACATCATTTGTAGCCTTTGATTGGGTGTCTGAAGGGAGTAGGGTAAATGTCGACACGATGTCAAAATCAATGTTTGGCCCATCTTACTTACATTTTGGAGTTTTGGCGTCAGTTGGTTATTTCTTAGCTAATACTTTGATCTTATTGATTGATCAGCTGTAAAAACATTCAGCTGCATGTAAAACAAGTCTCAGGTGCACAATCTCTTTACTTTCATTGAATTGCAACAACAGCAAGAGCGACATGAACTTCGCCTTGTCTTTGGCACTTTGCCTGACATTCGCCCGCGTGGGAAGTTCCTTTGAAGAAGGAGACTTTTTGAAAGAAGAAGTTCAAAATGACAAACGATTTTGGCGATCGGTAAGTGCTTTCTGTTGACGACCTTCACCTGAGTAAGGCATTTGAAATATTTGATCCGTTTCTTGCAAAGAAAAGAAAAGATTTGATTTCAAATCGAAAAAAGTCTCAACTTCATAGTTGTACATCATAAGAAAGATAGTCCACCATTTGAAATCAATTTTACTCAATCATAATCGCAAGCGTTTAACGAACACTTAGTTAGCTTGTTCTAACTAACATGATTATTTCTTTAACCCATACCAATGATCGAAGGAAAGATGGAAACATTTATGGAGCTGCGACATTTGCTTAAGGTCTCAAGATACACTGCTAGTAAACTCGGGCCATTTGAAGTTCAATTATTCAAAGTTCAACCTATTCCTCTCTCAAAATCTCCAGTTTTGGAGTGAAAGCGACCTCAGTAATGACTCATACCCTATTTTTTGTACAGAGATATTCTAGATCGAGCTTATTGGCTGGTTTAGAAAACAATGGCAAAGAAGTATATTTTATTTTCGCCTCAACGATCCACTACTTTTATGGATAAAATATTGGCAAAAGATTAATGCCAAGAAAACCGGAAGATTTGTTAATTGATCGTAAGAAAGAGGAAACAGTTTCAATTCACACAGTTTCAAGAAGTCCAATGGCAAGAACCAAAATGCGTGTCACCAGTTCACCCTCTTGAAACAGGCCCAGATAAACTCACTGCAAAGAACGCTTTCAAAATTCTTAAGGTTGCGAACTCGAGTTGCCTTTGGGAAATTAAATCTGTTTAGCCGGAATGTGAAAGGAGAAAATAAGGAGACTAAATCCCTCTCAGATTATCTCGACCGGGAGCGGTCATTTTGAATCTAGCATAGCAGCCTGGCCGCTTACCTATGACGTAACAGTTTCACTCACCTCCCCTTGAACTCTCAGCTATCTGTTGGCAGCAATGGTCTTTTTGCAAAAAGCGAAAAGCAGCTGTTATGAACGAACTCTAAGACATTTGTGTGGACGAATTCTGGGACATCTGAATAATACGAATATTGAGATATTTGTGTGAAGTGTTGGATTATTTTTTCAAATAGTGGCATTCAAAGACGAAATTTTTAGCAGTTTTGTAGACAATGATCTTGCCGCAATGATACTTAGGAATCTCAGAACATTTTCAATGATGATTTTCCATTTTGTAATAGCGGACATAAAAATATCATAGATTCAAGAACATACTTTTCCTTCATCAAAAAATAGTGTCTTCCTTATGCAAACGTTCTTGTTAATTGCTTTGATTCTTGCTCCTAGTTCCGCTTGTTTTAAATTTTTCAATAGTTCTCTCTAATTTCTTCTATTATCTAGGATTTCTTGGATAAACTCATTGTCTTCTGTTTCATTTCCAGTGTTCCAGTGACGCAGATTGTTCCCCTGGCAAGTGCTGTTTAAAATATGGTTTCTCCATGTGCAGAGCGTATTTAGCAGAGGGCAAACCCTGCCGTCTATCCTCCGTAAGTAGAGCGAGACCCCTGCTACTCGGCAGTTTCTGAAATCTTGATTTGGTGGTTTAGTGCAGATTTAGTCTTTAGTCTTCAAAATTGCTATTTACCAATATCCCAAGCGTTAACTCGTTAGCGCTGTAGCAATATTTTTAGCTCCCTTGATAATGTCCATGCAATAACCAAGTCCACTATCTTTATCTTTTCCACTTTTTATTGAAGATTATTTCTACCTTTTGTAGACACATCTGAGCACGGCGGCGGAAGCTTATGTTTCATGTAACTCAGTAGAGACATCAGTAAAGATTGTTGTTCTCGATATTCCTGTTTCACTCATTTGTGTTTTGCATTCGAACAGACTTGCTTTTGGAAATGCCAAGAGGGATTAGTGTGTGCAAAGAAACCACCTTTTGGCTTTCGCAAATGCACACGCCCAAGGACCCCTCCGCCGACAGAGGAGGTTGGATCTGGAGGAATGGGGATGTAAACTGACAGCAATGCCTGCAGAGATGGCTGGGTAGCTACGGTGATGGGCAAAGATTTTAGAGATGTGGTAAATGACTTGTTAAACCAT